GAAGAAAGACCTCTGGCCGTAACAGTTTTTAAAAGTTGGTAATATCAGTTGTCCTTTTGTAACAGATCTAGTTGAATGACCACTTCCAGAATTTGATTTAGGCAGCAATGCACAGAGAGTTCCATAACTGGCACCTTGGAAGATCTGAAAATAAAAATTAATAGCACTATACAAAACATAATTCTGAAAAGTCAAGGCATCAGACAATGAAAGAACTGTACAGTGATGAGTCCAACCAGGAAGTTTTTTATGAACTTTTTAGGCCCTSTTGTAGAGCCTAACTATGGGTTCTAAGATTTCATTTGTTGTAAGAGACCAAACAGGTAAACAGTACGACATGGTTGAGAGTTTAATGGCATGAAGATACATATTTATTGAATCGACATTTGATCATCAGTCCAATCAGAATCAAACCATTTCTCCAAACTGAGGTCGTTCCAAAATCTATCTACAACAGGTTAGATAATATTGATTAAGCTTTTCTCAGAACCATCCACCCATTTCATTTTCCCCACTTTTTCATTATCAGGTCACAATGAGCTGCATCTCCAGCAGCCATTGTGTGATTTTATCAGAACTTCCTTTCAAAATATCGGAACTATCCCTAAATGTTTGTCTAACAGCTGATTGAGCCGTTTCCTGTTTGTATTACTCATTCATCACTGTGCGAAAGTCCTGAGCCAGCTCTAAATGATCTATTTCCTTCCAAGCAGCTGGAATTTTTGCAATCTTTGAAAGTACTCTCATTACCCCTTTGTTCAGTCCAGCGTTTGTGCCTGACAGTGACGAGCGTAAAATGCTGCTTTCTTTGCTGTGACTGACCAGTTAATTAGTCAAATTCGACCTAAAAGGTATAATGTAAACTGAATCTAAAAATATGAATGTTTGTTTTGATCAACATGCTTTTAACTCTTTAAAACTGCCTAAACAAAACAAGTATTTAATGAAATTATACATTTTTAAATGTACTCATTTATTTTAGTTAAAGATCTAAAATCAAAGCAGATTGTACCTTTTTTGCCCAACACCCAATAGAATACCAATGATTTAGAAAACCTTAAATGGAAGCATAATTTAGCATAATTTTTTAAGTGACGTGAGGTAAATCAGGTTGGACCAACACATCTTTTTGAAACAATCCGCTAACATTTAGTTTTGTATTTAGTTGAAAGCTGTTTGGAGGGTACGGGGCAGGAAGTACTGCAGAGCAAAACTAAGGAAACTGAGAAATGCAAACTAAAACATAGTGATTTATCTTATTCGTCAAGTGCAGAAAAAATATTATAAAAGCTTCAGAGGTCACAGTTATCAGAGCAACTGTTTCCATTGTGTGAATTGTGAAAACAATAATGTGACAATGCTTCAGTCAGGAGAAAATATTTATAATTATTTTAAGTCCAATGTTTATTAAACTTTTAAATTGTATAAATTGACTCACAAGTGTTAAATATAAAATCACCAAATATTTTTTGCCAAATACTTGCAGTTTTCTTTCACAGATTGTTTCTTTTATAGAGAACGCAAGTTTATTTCTTTGCATTATCAAGTTCAGTTCCTGTTTGATTGTTGCTTAAGGATTCAAGGAAAATTTATTGTCTTCACATCACATCATGTTGAACATGAGGTCAAACGAAATTACATACTCACGGTCCAGTTAACCCCAATACGAACAACAATATATAAGAGAAAGCAAACAGAATATAAACAGTGTACAAATAACAACAACAACAACAACAACAACAACAACAACAACAACAACAACAACAACAACAACAACAACAACAACAACAATAATAATAATAATTAGGTGGTGAAATTTGGATTTTATTATTGGCACAAGAAATTATAAAGATGAGTCTTTTCATTACTACT